CAGGATCAGCAGCTTTTTCGAAGCCACCAGGTCCAGGACTCAAGCCACATACTCAGCCATGTGGGATCCAGCCGCCTTAACCGCCACACTAGTTGGCCGGCTCATATACCTCAACAGAGAACTTCACGTTGTTCTGTCCATTAAGGACTCCCCTAACTTTGGTGAGCACCTACCCTGCTCTTGTTCTGGAGTCTTCTAATTTATTATCTCAGAGACCTTGCAGGGGAGAAAGTGCAGCTCCGAGAGGTGGAGTTTTGCCCAGGTCTCGTAGCTAGTGACTGGCTTGCTATAAGAGATTTAAACCCTGGTCCAGTCCGTGTCATTTCTCAGCCTGCATTCTTTCTCCCACCCCAGGTGGGCCTGAGTCTGATCTGAGGACACGGTGCTGAGAGATGGGGAGAGCCTGTGAGGGCTGGGTGTGGGAGGAAGGTTTCCACAACCAGAGTAAGGCTTTAAGAGCCGTGAGTCTTCAGTCAAAGATAGCTGTCTTCTCTTCTCTTTACTCTCAGAGCTCACTCCCGCTTATTTATAGATATGACTTGTAAAAACCTCAATAGCAGGGATTGAGGCAGGTAAAGAAGGCATGCAGAGTGCTTGAGAGAGGCTGGGGTGTATCCTCAGCCTCTGACTTTCAGTCCCTTTGCCTTTCCTCGGGGAGCGGGGTTGAGGACTTGAGCCTCTTGGTATCTCCCCATGGGTGGAAGTGCATGGGTGCCTGTGCTCTGGGAAATGGTTCACGTGGCTGGTGACCAGCCTGGCCTCTTGCCTCAAGCCTGCCAGTGGTCTGGGCCATCTGGGTACTGTAAGCGAAGCACAGCGTGGACACAGATGAGGTGAGATGGCCTTGGCAGCTGAGCGAAGTGGCCAGGGTGTGTGGGATGTGGTGGGATGTCACCTGGCCTGAAGCAACACCACATCTCTGCTTTCTAGGGCAAAGGTCGCTGGAACCAGCAGAAGACACGATCTCCCAAATCTCCCACCTCAGCGAAGCTCACAGAACCATGTACACCCTCTAAGTCCCGAAGTGCTGGCCCAGAGGAGGCCTTGGAGTCACCTACGGCTCGGCAGATCCCCCCAGAGGCACGTCGACTTATAGTGAACAAAAACGCGGGCGAGACCCTCCTGCAGCGGGCAGCGCGCCTTGGCTATAAGGTAAGGGAACCTCCCCCCTGGAGGGTGCCAAAGACCTGAGCATCTGTGGAGAGGCTTCTCTCCTTTGACTCTTCCCGGGCTCCAGTCCTGGCTGGCCTCCCTGCACTGACCAGATTGCCTGTGGGGCTTCCGTGCCCCTCGTCCCATCTCAGGGTGTGGGAAAGCACACCCATTTGAATGGCAGTTTGGTAACTGAAATAGCAGCACAGTACCATCCAGCACACTCCTAGGCCAAAAATGGGGCTTGGGGACCTTCACGTCGTCTTGAATTTCCCCATGGTAGGTCCCGCACTCAGAGAAGGAGGAATGGCTGTTCCTCACTCTTCAATTCCTCCTCCACCTTCCACTCCTTTTGGCATGTGGAAAGGGGTCGGGGTGCGTTCTGAAAACGAGCTGAGTAGACCTCAACTTCTGCTACTTCCCTAGAGATGGGCAAGAAGGCAGGAAAGGATGCTGGTGTGATGGAGCGCCTCTTTTGTTAGGTTAAGAGCTTTGATTATTGGACCAGCAGTTAGCATAATGGCTATGTCACTGGACTCCCACGTAGTCGACTGCGGTTCGAGTCCCAGACCCAGTGTCTTAAACTCACGCTGGGCGCGTGTGCGTGCGTGCCTAAGATCCTGAGAGGAGAATGGAGGAGAAGGGATTGTGGCGTGACCATCCCCCCTGGGGGGTGATTTCTTGTTTTCTATCTTTCTGTCTCTTTGTCTTTCTGGTGAGCACACGCGCCCTATAGCAAAACCTCTAAAAAACAAAAAAAAAAAAAAAAAAAAAAAAAAGAACTTTGATTCCTTCTTTTCCTCTAATCCTCACAGTAAGCCTGTGGAGGTCGGTTTTATTGTCTGCATTTTACAGATGAGAAAACCAAGGCTAGCCATGTAGGATGATGTGTCCAGGATCATCCAGCTACTACTACACTGTGCATAGGAGTCTGAATTCACACCAGTGTCTTTGATTCCCAACACCCGAGGTAGGGGCAGAAGACTGACCCCGGGCCGGAACTAAATGGTGCTGGCTGTTCAGTTGTTTCCCACTTGTCGATATGAACTCCTCAAACATGTGTCTGCCCAGCACAGTATTGTCCTCAGACCTGCTGCTGACAGAAGAGTTGCTGGGTTACAGAACACGTCTTTTTTTTTTTTTTTTTTTTTTTTGGGAGGTTTTTTTTTTAGGG